TAGCTTTGTAAGCAATTTAAATAATTGTTGAGCGTAATTACAAGTCTTCGACTTAAAAATATTTAAGTTGACGTCACCTAAGAAGTAGATTGATTTACTACTAGCACTGTATCGATCAATAGTTTCTTCAGAATATTCTAAAAGGTGGTCAACAGAATTATGCTGTCTGTAGACAACTCCACAAATAATATTGCTTTTCTTAGTGAATTCAATTTCATGCCAAAGTGTTTGAATTAGAGGTTTTTTTGATGACTTTGTATCATACATTGTTGTCTTAATACATTCCTACACCTCCAGCAAAAAGAGGAGTGGGATCATATTCAAAATTGTAATTTGGTATGGTTGGATTAAAGCCAACATTCTCGTCATTAATTCTTGCTTCTGTCACTGCTAAAAGACTAAAATGAAAATTTTGCTTGTTTAAAATATGGGTTTGAAGGTTGACCAAGTTTTTTCACAGACTTCATATATTAGTGTGAAATAAAGAGAAGCAAGATTTGAATGACTTATTCCTACTCATAGACTGTGCAAAGGTAAACAGAGAATAATATTTACAATGGATGGTTCCAATTGAAGTGTTACAATCTGGATTGATACCTGAATTTACATTAAGACTAAATAAGTCAATGTCATGAAAGCCTTTGAGTCTATTGTGATACTTTTTGTTGGCAGATGAGATTGCAATGTATTGTTAAACTAGCGATGAGCACAACAGATGCCTACACCATTTTATGGTAATTCATGAAACAATAACTGTACTGGCTTAGCAACGTTCACAGAAACCATTTCAACCAAATATATTAGAAAGGAATAAAAGAACTTATCTTTGTGACAAGTTAAGTACTGCATTCCTACTGTGCCATACTATGTAGTACACTAAGGTTCTTCACCCTGATAGGCCGGTTGTTTCCAGTTTTCCAGAGGTAGATGGCTTGGTTCTTTGCCCAGTGATAAGCATAGCTTTACCTGTTCTTTAAGTTTTTGGCTTCAAATAATAGCTCCTGAGCTTTTGGGGTTAGGTGATCCAAGATAAGAGCATTTGAAAGATCACCATTATTAATACTGGTGGCTATTGGGCTTGCTTGAGTAATTTCCCGTCGACATGACATGACATCTTCTCGAGTGATTCGTTGCACAAATTCAAAAATTATAGGGTTTTGGGCTATTCAAAGATGAATTTCAGCTGGGCACTCTATGTGTAGTATCAGTGTCATTAAGTGTAACATTAACACCCATAGCATTAAAAAGTCCAATACAGAATTTAGCCATTTGAAGAGCAGGTCTCTGCTTAAGTGGATCAATCTCTGGGACTCCCAATAGCTTAACTTTGAAGTTCTAACTAATAGTATATTGTACCAAATCCGGTCAGTGTAAAACACAGACTGCAGACTGGGGAAAAATTGCAGATGAAGACTGCAGACAAGGGGTAAAATGCAGACTCCGTTCTTAGGTTGAAATTTACGGATATTCCTAGTTTCTATAAATGATTAAACTTAAAAGGAACTTGAGACTTCTACTCGCTCTTAATTTGTTTCAATTTAAGGAAGACTCCGCCATTTTTCCAGTGAATAAAAACACATCACAGCAAAACTAAATTTCTTAAGCATCCCTAATGTCAGCCAACAAGAAGCCCAAGATAGGTTAAGTTGACCATGATACCCACAGATTCACCTCAGGTTAATACTAAAGTGAAACACCGAGCGGAATAAGAAAGGCAAACACCTGAGGATATTCTTTGCAGGGTTTTCAATTATAATAGTTTATCTCACACCTGCAAATTTGCACTAAATTTAAAGAATTAGCATGCCTAGCTTTGCAATGCAGACAAAGGTACGAGAAACAGGGTTTTAATGTCCAAGTAATCAAAATTGCTGATGTGTGATGAAAGTCTATCACTGCTACTTTGAAGGCTGAATGAAGTATGCACGAGCTGCATTTATGTTTAAGCTACCTAATTTTGCTCAGCAGAACTTTTTATTCCTTAACAAGGGAAATGTATTTAGCTGGCTGTGAACTGCATATTCAAACACTTCTAATTATGATGCGAATTTTCAACCAAAGTGTTTATGTAAATAATCGCCGTTTCGTCTTCCTAGAGAATCGTTCATGTAGGTCAGTACTCCACTGGTGTAAGGTAGCAAGGCTGAACAGACTGCATCAGCTCCTTAGGTGTATAGATCATGTATAGCATGACAATGAAAGTTTACTTAATAAAGTCTAGTTATAAGAATTCTCGACAAGGTTTCTGCTTCTTCTCTCATTAATTCCCTGCATAATATTTTCAATTAAACATTCTTTCCAGGAAAACTATAATACTTCATTGCCTGATAAAAAGAATTCTTGTTCTTGAGGAAAGAATTCCCGACCTAGTGACAAGAGTTTCTGAAATAGAGATTCGTCTCAAGATATCCAGATGGAAAGCATTCTTACCAGAATTCTCTACAAGATTTTAGTTTCGTCGCGAGAAGCTTGATTCTTCTTGAATGGATCGCAATCAAATTATTCTTGTGATAAGAATTTTGGATCTTAGTAAACGAAAATTGCGAATGGGGGAATATTCCCTGTTGTTTTACATCAACTGTGCCTTCTACGCCGATTTAAGTAAGAGATAAAAAGTCAGTAAGAAACATTCGATCTCGTGACAAGTTCACAAAACCTATGTCAAAGATGGGTTGAATCTTTGATGGGTTGGATATTAATGAAGGTTCTAGCTAACACATTTATCTAAATACCCTGCAGACGGGCGCGGTCCTAGATGAACTTAAACGCCATGCAGCCATAAATTTAATTTTCACGGAAAGTTTCTTTCAAAATTCCTGAAATCATCAGTTGTTTGATGGGAATTTGAGGCGATTCTGAAATTAATGTAGCTTTCGCACTTTGATCCAAACTTGCGCCTTCTTCGAACGGATAATTTCGAACTGTAGATGTCTAAGTACTAATGCACAGGTTCAGAGAATTCGTCCATCAACAAACCAAAACAAATTTTAGATTCGCATGACATTTGTTACCAGCCGGTTATTGCTCTCATTATGTTTAAATGTGGTCTTTTGTGGGAATTCGAGGAATAACCGCCTGGTTACCAGCATTCATTCTGAATTATCGATCACAACATCCACCGACTAATGGTAGACACAAGCTGATAACTCTTCTTCTGAAGTATCAAATCAATAGCTTGCCATTTTTAAGCTCACACGATTATTCTCAATCGATTTGCACGATTATTTTTTGGGAAATTCAGTACTTATTTCTAACATTACATGAGCCACAATTAACACAATTTTCGAAGTGTTAAGAACATCGCAATTTTCGCATACGCACAAGTTCGGATATATCAACTAGAAAACCGATATCATTTCTGGGATCGCTTAAAATTTTCAACCGATTATCTGATACTTTCAAGAGATTTGAAATAACCTTTTCTGGGCATCAAGTCCAATCAAGAACGTTCATGACTACCTTGCATTGTCTATTTTGAGCTAAAATTTGCAAAAAACTTACCATCCATCTTCGCTTTCTCGGAATCATTCTGCCAGAAGTATCAGGGATTGCAGAAAGCCCTATTAAAAAGGTTCTTTCACCTGGTATAAATCTGAAGCTCTGTTAATTCCCAGAAAGAAAATACCCTAGCGCCTTTCACGCTTCACGTACATGTTCGTGACTCAACAACCACCGGTAACAAGCAGTGGAAAAGCCGTAAGAAATGAACTGGGTAGAATTACAGTATTTGCGTTACTTCGCTCTGTGATTGGTCAACATAAAACGCCTTCTCTTTTTCAAATGCATGAAAAAGGGGAACTGAACATGTCATGGAAGCCCATTTGAGCCCATATGTAATACCTAACACAGTTTAATAGTGACAGTATGAATATCAATGACATGTTGAAAATAAAAAAGCAACTTTTAAGATTAAAGTTACACACATTTTGGCGGGGGATTAGGAGTGGGATTAGGTCTGCAGGGATAGGGTTAGGGTGAAATGCCTTTATAATATAACATAAGCAACATTTAAGGCTAATTTGGGACATTTTTTAACACGAATACCGATTCTTATTGTAATTTTGACTCAAATGAAAAACACACTAAACACCTCCGTGTTCCTGATAACATTCCACCAGATGCCTCAGAGAACTGAGAGAGACCTAGAAATAAGTTATTGATGAAGATATGTAAAATGGTTTCCGTGTTTACATAACCTGATGTAAACACTTGGGAGGTTGGGAGAACACGAGATAAGCGTAGGAAACCACGACGCGAAGCGGAGTGGTTTCCAGGTTATCGAGTGTTCTCCCAACCTCCCAAGTGTTTACATCAGGCTATTTAAACACGAAAACCATTTTACATTTCTTTTATAAAATAACTAATGAAAGAGGAACGAAAACCGTGTTTACATACGCTCATGTAAAATGGTTTTATGGCCAATCAGAGCGCGCGTACTATTTGAATTATTTTATAATAACAGTTGTAAAACTGAAGGCAAATCCTCGACCCTGGCCAGCGGTTTTCTCCACATGTTACCGATCAGCCCATGAACATTTTAAAGAAAAACAAAGATTAAGTTAAAGAAAAACTCGTTGAAATATTGGGTTCAAAGATTGAGAGACTACCAAGTGATCTGGAGTATTTTAAGATAGTTTATCCAAGGAAATATATGAAAATTATGCTCGAGGGCCGGAGTTTATGGTTGCAAACCAACCCCTTTTCCTTGTTGGATACCTCGATTTATGATAATTATTATTCCAATTGAGGCCATAACGGCCTTGCAGGCAGCTTTACGCACAAAACCACGGAGGTCAAGAACGCACGCAAAGGCGCTGCTTAAGTTTCATGGAATTCCCGGTCGACTGACTCTTTGAAAAGCCTCCATTTCCTAACCCCTTTTAAAGATCAACTAGAATAAAGTCATCTCTAAAAGCCGGCGGAATCTTGGATGTTGCGATTGATGATTTTTTGTTTACTTCGTAACGAAAACCTGTCATCGACAAACATTTCAAGTGGAACCCGTAGTATTTTAATTGGAAAAGGAATAAACTTTGCCACACGGCAAAAACATCAGGGGATGACGGACAGATATCTCCAGAACAATCAATTCTCCTACCAACTAATTACGTCTACGTTCTAAATTTTACTCTGTCAATGCACTTCACTTCCATATATATTTGTACATGCATTCGTAAGCACCTTGTGCCGGACAAAGCGTAGCATGCCTTCCAGGCAGCATTTACAAATTTCCATACATATCTTTTTAATTCAAATTGAAAAAATTATATCTAGTAGTCCTGCCTGCTTAGGTTTTCATGGTACTTTATACCACTGGTTTTACGCATCACGGAAAGAAAATATAATTTTTTCAAGGAGTCCTCCCTTTAAACAAGATATTTTGTACAATTTGCAATTTTGTTATGCATAATTGCACGTGCCTGTTAGGATGAATGATGTAGGTCATGTACTATTAGTAAATGTGAATATTTAGACATCCGACTCACACAAACAATCCCTATGTGTTCTTGCGTTTTTTTAAATATCCATAGACAATTTAATTTCACTGTAAAATATGCGAAATATATAACTTGCGTTGAAAGTATCTTGTAATTGGCTACTTCATACAGGAAAATATTTATAATCGCTCGCCGCGTCCCAACTAACTTTTTCTTGATCATCCTCATTTGGTGCTGCGCGATGAATACCAACTAATTTTGCCACTCGCTTGTTCCGTAAATATGCCAGATAATTATTTTCAGTTCGTGTCATTCTTTCACATTTTTGTTTTAGATCAGAAGGCAAATCTGATCTTAGAGTCAAACCTTTAGCATACCTGTTGCCATACATTAACTGCTTAGTTGGCTTGTCTTCAAAACATTTAGTTTTAAGTTCCTGTTTCATTCGACGAAAGTTCGTAAGATCATCGTAAAAGTCTTTTCCTTCCCTTTCGATTCTTTGCCAAAGAGTTTGGTTAAAGTGTTCGTACAGCAACACGTCAGCTTTGTTCCACCGTTTTATGTTCTCTTTCGTATCATTTGATATTTCAGCAGCTTTGTCCTTGTCAAGCCGTTCGTTTGTTTTTACAAAAAGTACATCCTCCAATTCCCAGCATAGTAATCGCTTCATAAGAACCACAGATTCGTCAAAATAGTCTGCGATTAAAACCAAATCAAACTCCTTTTCCAGGAATTCAATGTACTCTTTAATGGCTTTGGCATCCTGATAAAACTTGAAATCCAAACCCAGATCAAACATTTGTGGATTTCTGGCTAAAACAGAACTTCCGCTTTTTCTGAGGATATTAAATCCTATTCCATTCTTTAGAAAGGCTTTCAATGATTCGGATGGATCTGTCCCAAAACCGAACACAGTTCCGATTTGCATGTAGTTGAAAATCGACTCAAACTGTTTGACCGGGTTTCTGACGATTGTCATATATTTGCTGGCGTCTTTTGGAAACAAATGGTTCATGGTTTTCTTATTGAATCTTGTGTGACTGCAAAGAAAGTTTGGCCGAGTTCCATCGAAAGCGAGAGCTTGTCCAATACGGAAACGCGTCGGCCATCCAATAAGAGTGTCCGAGCCAAGAACAAAGGAAAGATCTCGAGAATCGCCATAACGAAAGAAAATGTTCGAAATTGTGCTTGAACCTGCTTTGTGTGTTTTGAGAAAAAGAACGTATTGTTCTGAAGAACAGTTGATGGCAGCTTCTGTCCTTGATTGTTCTGGAAAAAAAATTTTAAAATTTGTCTTGTTAGAAGTTTTGCTAGGTTAAGTATCACTTATTATTGTATTATCCAACTGAACTACGTAGAGTGCAAATAACACGCGAATCAAATACAAATATTTTCCCACTTTTCATGACATGCGCATGAAATAAAGCAGTTGGATAATAGATAATTTTGTTTGTATTTATTTTCTTTGCTTGAATTTTGAATTGCCCTGTGGGCAATATGACACAACTCGTGAAAATACTCAGCGATACTACACACCAAAACTTCTAATAAATATATCTGTATTCATCTTGGTGTTATGTTGTATCTTACGAGCTTAGAATTTAGTTCAACTAGGAACTTACATAAATGGCCAGTCGTCATTTAGCGCTGGGGAGGGAGGGGGGGCGGGGAACGGGGAGGGGGGGAAGGGGGGGAAGGGGGAAAAGGGGTAGGGAAGGGGAAGGGAAAGGGGAAGGGGAAGGGGAAGGGGAAGGGGAAGGGGAAGGGGGAAGGGGAAGGGGGGAGGGGAGGGGGAAGGGAGGAAGGGGAAGGGGAAGGGTGGAGGTTGGGGGATTTTGATTGAGTCAAGATAAAATTTAACTGATCCTCCCTGCCTTTCTTGGCAGCAGTCAATTTACCATAGTACCCCAATTTAACCTCTAATGACAACCACTGACCCTCTGGAAGGGACACCAGTCCATTTAAGGTGAGAGAAGATGTATGGTCAAGGTAAGATCAAATTTCAAAACAGAGTTACCCTGGTAGGAATCAAGTGTGAGCCTTCTGATCTTGTGTCTTACATGCTAATCTTTCAACATCTTCTGACCTTAACTCCTCAACTCCCAGAAGTGATTAACATGTCACTTCTCCCTATAATATCCATATATTATCCAACAAGCAGGTCATCACAACGTCATCATAATAAAAAAATATTTTAGACATTTGGGTTTATTATTAAAAATTCAAGTAACAATTTGTGTATGGCTCTTTGAGTCCTTGCATTCTTACCTTGTACTTGTATTGGTACAAGCGTTGGCAGTGAAGGAATTAATTGCAACTGAATCGCTGTTGCAATTAGTAACACAACTGAGAGGATGATGATAACAATCTGTTTACAAAACAAAAAGACAAACATACCATCTCATATCTAAATGATCAACCGCTGTGTATTTGGCTAAAAATCCTTAGCACAAAGCAACTAGGTTTTTCCCTCCTGGATGGGATACCAGTCCATTGCAAGGTTACACCCCCTCTCCCCCAGCATTTCTTCAGGTGGTACCCAGCTATAGCTATACTCAGTACCTACTTCTCCTGTAGGAGTTGATACAATACAAATAATGTGACATTCTTATTATAATAACAACTTCTTATTAACTGAGCGCAAGGGCCACACAAGGGGATTATTGGCCTAAGGTCATATCAGTGCAGGCCAAGTGCAGTGAGGTCCGTAAGAATACCACAGAGGGCCAACACCAGTATTTCTTGGTAAAGCTTACACAAGCAAGGTTAGTAGGTGGCTGAATACATAGAACATGGACTAAACTTGTTTATTTTCAAATTACCAGCTTTTGAGGACAAAAAACAAACTGCTTAAGACCATTTCAGTGGAATGGGGGCCAAAATTGTCTTCAGATGCCCCACCCAGGTCCTGGATTTGATGGTCAATCTTTTGAGTCTTTTTTTTTTTTATTAAAAAAAAACGCTGTTAGCATATCAAGTGGTATGTTGCTCACACCAATCGGATAGCCGCATTAGAGTTTGTATCTCACACCAATCAGAGAGCCACATCAGGGTTTGTATTTTGCACCAATCAGATCACAGCACTGCAGCATGTTTGCACCAATCAGAGATTCAGGGTGTTGTTCCTCACGTCGTGTCAAGAAATTAGGGTGTTGCAAAGTGTTGCAATGGAACCAGCCCAACATTGATTCACACTAGAACATCAACAAAAAATCGTGAGGTCATCTATCCTATGAACTAATTCATTTCCTTCATGTGGACCTACTCACTATAATCTGCCAGGATTACAAAAGTTGGCAGGGAATTTTTTTACCATTTAAAAGTAACATTGCATTTTGAGTACCACTTCTTCACTCACAATGCTTGTGTAGCATGCCTATGTTTTTGTAAAAGGCAAAACCAGTGACCATGACTTTCTACTCAGTGACTCCCTGGACACACCTCATTGAAATGCAAATATTCTCCAATTAATGGATTACGTTTCTAAATGCAGCTCCGATCAGGTGTCTGAAAATTATGTTGTCAAGGTTATTGGTCAACAAAAATATATAGAATAAGACCATATATGATCATAGTACTCATATTCCTTTGAAAGGTTGGCAAAGAAAAGAGAGTTTTCAAAATAATCCTCCCTGGGAAGCTGGATGTATGCCTCAGTGAGTTCATTATACCACTAGAACAAAAAATGGTGAACAATATAAGCCATCTTCTCTCAGAGGAATCCTCTCAAGTGTGGATCATTATCTCATAAGACCTGAATGCACGCAAAAGCTATTTATTGATCCCAAATTTAAAGTGAAATGGTTTGGTGTTTCATTAATCCTTTCATAATAAATAGGACAAAAAATGGCTGCTTGAAGACTCTAAATTTATCTTCAATTCTTGCAAAATACTTTACGACTGGGGCATAGCAAAAGCATGAAACCTTTTTTAACACAAGGATAGAAATTCTGTATCCTCAAGGGGAGATAAAATTCTCTTTATTATATGGAAATAGTCCTGTTTCTAAGGTATAATAATTTCATTGACCACAGCAGATGTGCTATGCACAGTATTTAACCAGTATTTGTTGAATCAATGTCTTAGTCAGTGAAGATTATGTGGATAATTTTTCCTTCATTCAGGGTTAAATGCCATTTTTCTGTTAGTGAGAGTAGTAAAAGTTCTAGTGAACTTCCATTCCTGAAGTCATTATGCAAGTGGTTATCTCAAGGTCTACAATATAACAATGCAAAGGCAGCTGTCAATTCATTTTGTCAGTGGTTATTAGTGATGTTGTGTTGCAGCAAAGAACAAGGTGTTAAAAAACGTACAAAAAACTTTAATCACAAGATACACAACTACTAACTTAGCCTATCCTAAATAACATGGACAACTAAATATATTTTTACTGCTGGTTACATAGCATTACCTAGGGAAAGGTGATCACACTAAATTCTTCGCAAGTAAACATTCGGGTCCTATTTGCAATCAACACCACAAGCGAGAGGCAATTGAGACTTTACATACACAGAGCAACAAAACAACGAGATTTGTGATAATTATAATTCCCATCAACATCGTGGCGGTTTTAATTTTTACGAATGTTTTTTCTTCAGTTACGAACCTTCTCCTCTAGAGGTGATTGCTCACTCGTGAGACATAACATGCGAAGATAAAATTAGTATCACGCCAGGCTACGCAATATATTATACATGTAAATATTCTAGAACTCACCAGAAATGGCTTTATTTCCTTGAGCATTTGGAGGTAACATCAACGTAAACAACTGAAAAAATTCAGACAATCAGTCCCTTCTCATTGGTATGATAAGGAAACTAAAACCTGAAATAAAAGAAGAATCACCAAACGAAACACAAAACACCAAGTACTCAACGGCAACGACTCAATCAGCCCAGCCTAATCATGGCCGTGTAATGACCAGCTTGCTCAAGATGGCCACGATCATCATGGGATGTTGTCATAGAATTTGTACTCTGCGCAATTGCGGAATAATTTACCAGACAAACCTGGCCAACTCATTGTGAAACTAACACATAATCCACATGGGAGTTAATTAGAAGTTATAAAGGTTTGTTTGGTTTAATTAGGGCGACATGTGGCTTACTTATATCCCCAACCGTTAAATGGAAATAAAAGCAATAAAAATGCGGAGAGAGCAAACGAAATAACATTCTTTAAGAAATGCACACTTGATGCACGTCATGTCTCGAGAACTTTGCGATGGTTAGAAAATCTTGAATAGAGAAACCTGTATCTTACGGGACAAACAAAAAAAGGAGAAGAAGATCATTCTAGTGAAACAAATATTTTAGAGGAAAATAATATCTGCTATCCACAATTTTGGTCAGGGAGAAACAGTTAGTTTTCAATGAGAACCCAATGAAAGCAACAAAATGGCGGCCGAGTGCGAGAAATGCTAAGATTCTATTTTTTTTCCTTTCTTTTCCTTGTTTCTATTTTCAGTTAAGACAGTTCGTTGTTGAAATGGGACTTCTGCCTTGAGTGTTGTAATTAAAAGAGGTCGGTCTCGTAGATGCCGAAGAATGTTTACTTCTTTAATAGCAAACGGCTGTGAAAAAATACAAGTCTTGAGTTTAAAAATGAGCGTTCTTGTAGCCCTGGTGCATCATTTTGGCAGAGAGAAAAAACAAGCTAGAAAAGTTAAGGTTGGCTCGAAATTGATCCGCGACTTGAACTTGACTCGGGCTAGAACTTAACTCGTGAAACGAGCCTAAATAGCCTAAATTGTAACGCACGCAATCATGAAAACTTTGTGTTTTTCAGTCGTAGCTTTTCTCCACCAACAAATCCTGCATTTTCACATCAGGAGGAAAAAGGAAAAACGCGTAACAAGGAAGCAGTTTCCTCGCTCACCGAGCACTTGGAAGATGGCTAATTAGAACAATCATGTCGGCCAAAAGCCCGACGAATGTTGTGTTAAATGGCGCGTGACCGCGTGGGACGCCAAGCGGAACAAAGAGATTCATATTCGATATTGCTTACCCGTTAGAAGCTTTGTGTGGTGAGACGTAGAAACTACTTTTCCTCGTGAAACAACCTCGGCGAAATCGCGTCCCTCTGACAAATTTGTATCGTCCTGTTTGGACGGTGCACGACCCCTATTCAGCGGTGAGCAGAGTGAGTGACTGATTGATGTTTGGTTGTCAGGGAAACGACCGCATGGGAAGCTTATGAGGATTTATTTGAGCCCCTGTGTTTACCATTGGGCATTTAAAAATTGCCAAATTGTTATCGTTAGTCGTGAAAAAAATCAATCGGAAAAATTTTCCCATCTTCAATATGTTATTGAAGTCAACCGTTAGCCGTAAAGTGTCGAAAATTTTAACCGTTAGCCGTAAAAGCCATCATGCCGTTGAGACTCGACTGCTAACGAGGTGTATCCCTACGATTGGTTAATATGACGATTGACATTCCCTGAAATAGGAAAGATTCAATTTTTCAAACTGGAAAAGGAAAAAAAAAATTAATAACGAGTGCGGAAAAGCATATTTTACAAAAATGCTAGACCCTGTGAGCAGGGTAACTGGGATACCTGGATGGTAATGGATCCTTGGAATCAAGTGTAGTGATACTACGGGTGTCGGACTAGTATACTGAAATAGTGAGCTCAAGTCTGGCCAAGGGCATACACTTATTTCAAAACATAGGCATGCTATGCAAGCAAGAGTTATTTTTTGTAGGGTGGGTGGATTACTTGAAACATTGAAAGTGATGTCTACATTCTTACAAAAGGAAAGAAGAGTATTATCGCGGAAAAGAACAAAAATGTCGAATTAACTCACACACAGGTATTTTGTGGTAGATTGTGTGTGTTGAGCGAATAAATGTAACCAAAAATAAACTGTATTGGTGCCACGGATACCAGTTAGTACAAAATGCAGACAGCAGACTGCAGAGTGGGTACAAAATGCAGACTGAGAATCTGAAGAGTTTTTACGTCTGGTATATAATAACATGTCATCTTACAGCTTACCGAGCGTCACGCAATCGCTTTTCCGCGATCAGCTTTCACGATTATTTGCACTATTGTGGAATATTCCTGGCCCATTTCTTGATGAAAATCGACCGTAATATAATTTCAAGTCTTCAATATAGTCTTCTTACTTTGCGCGCGAGTTGGTTGGTGTGATGTCTGTACAGATTTTACCAACGTAATAAAAGTAGATGACGTGAATAACAGTGATGGTGAAGCACGCTTAAAACGGCAGAAATCGCCAGAAACTACAACGGATACACAGGGTATGAGTTAGCTTTATTGATTTTACGAGAAAAATGTTTATATTAAGAAATATTTATCGTTGTAAATCGACCATACTTCGTTCCCCATACTATTCCTTATAACGTGTTCAAATTTTAAACGGTTCCTCTCGTAGCTTAACACCGAGTCACACAGCGCGTGACGCGTTCATGAATTAATCGTTGGCTTTTTCTCGAGACGTGAGCTTGGGCCGCCTGTGACAAGACAATTGCGTGAACATTACTTGATATAATAAAATTATACAAAAAAAACACAGGATTTTGGATCATGTATTTATTAAAAAAGAGTATCCATGCAATATTACAATAAAAAAAAAACGTAAGATTCACCTTTCTGATCGTGAAATTAACACCATTCGTACTGTTATCGTAGCTACGTTCCCTGGCATCAGGTGAATCCATATGGCGTCTATCTTCACAAGCAGTTTGCACCCATCAGAGTTTTGTTCTTCAGTCTCACGGTGGTAGTGTTGTTCAATAGAATGCATGGAGTATATGCAGTTTGGTTTCAGATTTCAGATTTTGCTTTTTACAACAAGTGTATGTTTTTCAACTAAGGCATTGGCATACTTGCCATACTAGGCATACAGGACATTCAAGGATTTCATGGCTTTCAAGCGTTCCATCCGTTCTCAATGACAAAAAGTGAAAATGAGGTAAATTAGCCAAGACAACTATGACAAAGTCTCACGTGTGACCTTGATTAATTGCTTTTATTTTTCTACAATAATTAGTTTTTCAAACCCTTTTGCTTTCTACCTGCGAAAGAAAACATTTGACGATCATATTCTCGACCTTTTGTAATAAGGGAATCAAAGAACGACGGCAGTTTCTCACATGTCCTTCACACCCGCGACTTGTCTAAGCTTATGGAAATATCCTAGACTGGACAGTGAAAACTGATCATACTATTGTAGTGTTTCTGTTCCAAAGCTCGGCAGAAAACCTTATGTTTTTATAGAAATTTAACATCGCAGCTCATATTTTGAATCTTGGCTAGCTGCAAGCTTAATCGCTAACACTAAAATACCTGGGGAGTGAATCTACTGTGGAAAAAGTTACCCTACCATGTAGCAATATAATATCCGAAAAAAGAACAAAATTTAACTATTTTTGTTTACATAAAAAAAGGAAAACACGATGAAGTCTAAAGTTGAAAGATTTTCTTTCCGGTGAAAATTAAACCTGTAAAACTTACAAAAACTCCAACAAATATTACCAAAATATCAAAAGTGATCTGATATAGTTTTAAGTTGTCCTTTTGGGTATTTAGGTGAAAAACTGCAGGAAAAATCAAAGCAACGCAGGAACCACTTAAACTTCCGATGAATGACATAAAAAGCGCAAAATGTGGAATAGAAATCGCGGGTAGAAGTGTTAGAAAATTTGTCAACACTCGAATGCCGATGAACCAAACAATCTCAGGACATCTGAATGGAAGTGAATCGACTGAAAAAATTTCCTCGATTGTGTGGATTATGGTAATGACACTAAAAGGATATGAAAAGAGAACGTTTAAAATCAAAAATCCGTTGACAAAGACTCGTAAAAATCCCATGGGAAGGCTGTTTACAATCACTTCTGGAATATCTGGGCTAAACGACAAGAAAGCACAAACTGCAAAAACGATCTTGAGGATTGCAACAAAGGTATAAGATAGCGCAAGCATCTTTTGGAACTGTGATCTGTTTTGCAAGCTTTCCTCGACTCCTGGCAATATAGGATGACAAATGAAACTGAAAATTATAAGTGCTAATGAGACTGGCGCTTCATCGATATTCCAGACTAATATAAGGTTAAGATTCCACTTAGAGCCATGTGCTATGCCAAAAGCTAAGACAGCTATTACTGCTACAGATAAAGCTACAACACTCACTAAACTGAACCATGCAGCCTGTGAAAGATTCTTTACGAAAATGGTCGGGAACCCAATTGTAGCTGCAATGATCATCCAAATTTTATCGGACACCGGTATCCCTGGAAATATACTGCTTGAGAGCGAGGCGCATAAGACAAGATACAAAGACGCCAGCATAAACAGTTCGATCAGCTGGACAGCGGCGACAATAGCACCACCAAAGCGAGGCCAGCAGGCTTTACCGAGCTCTTTATAGTTGGACCTGACTCGAATTCTTTCGCCTTCGTTGTTGGTCTCATACAGGCTCTCTATCAATATAGCTCCGGTGTAGTAGGTGATAAAGGGAACCACGACCAGAGCTGCTATCGTTACCAGGCCACTCTCAGCAATCACGTAAGGAAGAGCGAGGAGGCCGGTGCCCTCGATACTGCTAATGAGGTTAGCAACCGCTTTCCATAAGCTCGACCTTTCTGCAGACTCTTCATTTTGATCATCCGCATCTTCTTCTTGGATCAGGATTTTTTTTTCATGTTCTTTTCCTTTTCGTTCTTCCTCTCCTTCTTCAGTATGGTTTTTCAGTAAACGATAGCCGGTGGTTTCAGACATTTTGCTACGCAAAACAATCTTGTTATTCCTGAGGAACACAAGTTACTCGGTTAGATATGAAATGTAACAGCTGATTATTAACAATAAAAGCGAATCAAATGTTCCAAATTCCCTTCCCCCTCCCCCCATGTCGAAGGAATTTTGTTCGCCAAACGAGAACCGGAAAAGTCATTCCACACCGTGGAAAATGTTGTTGTTCACGTTTTATAGTAAGATCAATACTGTCGCACGAAGTTGACTACATACTGCCAGTCACATCAATTTCACTATCTTAAGTGAAATCCGAAAACGTTTACGGTAACGTTCAAAATTACGAAAAATATTATATATGAAACTATTACCTTTTACGGTTGAATATCGCATACCAATTATCAATTCGGTATTTATTTTTGACAACGTATACGATATACGCCTCGCGCAACTCTCGCGCATCTTTCGTGCTCTCCAAACTTCCCCCGTGTTTCATATCTCGATGAACGCACAGCTGACGTAAGAACCAATTGTTCTATAACATTTTCAACCCGAAGGCTTAAATGTTGTAAAAGGGTTAATATTCCCTCTGCTACGCTTCAGCGCGTTGATAATTTTGTTTCAGGAAAACATTTCGCTACGATGTAAACGATCTTTTTTCCATGTTTAGCTTAAATTGCCGTCGAAGTTTTAACCAGTTTTTTAATAGTAAAATTCCAAAATAAAAAATCGCGGAGAAAAGTTTTTTCTCAAGGGATTTGTTTGCTGACGTCATGAGCGTGCACAATAGGAATATGAAGCATATGGAGCGTTATTAGGGTCAAATTTAGAAAACAAATTATGTTATGGTGTTTGATATTTCATTCGGCCGAACTACAGAATTATGTTCCAGCGTTGCATGGAATTATGTTCGGCTCTTTTAACTTCAATAAAAAATGCAATAAACTATGTCCGGCTCTTTTAGAATTGTGTTGGGAGTATTTCACTTATAACTAGGCTGGCAGTTTTTTTGAGTTTCGTCCAATTTTGTTCGGCTCCTCCGAATTATGTTCGGAACGCGGCTACTCGAATTATGTTCGGCAAGTAGACTGGTAGCCTTGCGATAAGAAATTCACGAGGAGTCCCGGGGCGAGAAACATTTCCCGCGCTCTCTATAAATTATTCTAATTATTACCAGTGTTCGTGTACTGTTCTGTCGAACATGGCGGACAACAAACGTGGAAGAGGCGATTGCGACGAAAACCAAGAAAATCGAAACGAATGCAAAAGTGCTAAAGCAATTAAACTTCTACGGGAAGTTACCTCGCTTCTCAGTGAGGGTGATAGCGAACCATATCAACCGGCACTCTGTGAATTATGGATGAGGGTGACTATTGTTGCAAAATTAGTACAAATTTTCAATTAGGTACCTGAATTGTTTTAGGTTCGATAGAGTTTTTTTTCATTGCGGCAGTAAGTCAATAAGTTCAGTACTGCTCACCTGTTTACTACATGGCTTGCCTAAAACACTCCTAGCAGAGAAACTCTTGGAAAGTAATTGCTTTTAATAAAATACCCAAGACACTGTATCTTCAGAGTTTTCACTTATTATGGCAGACCCAGAAAACTGACACAAATTTGGTAGCAATTGTGACAAAAGAAGTTTTCAGTAGTTGTTGTTTTTGTTTTTTATGATAGCAAAGTAATCCACTATGGATGCCACATGGAACTCTCACAAAATATTTTGTGTGCTTTATGTATCAATCAATTTGATGCTTCAAATTGTAAAAAAGAAAAAGTGAGTTTCACCAACTAAAAGAGTTCTCAATACAAAAGATGAACTGACACTAAATTTTATTATTCACAAAATTTTCCTCATAATAAGAAGTTTGATAGAAGTCTCGCAAAAAATAATTTCTCATACAATTCGATGGTCTGAAAGATTCTCTTTCAAACAAATTTTATGGTAACCATAACAGTATAAAATAAACATCTTGATTTGGATATATTTCTCAATCTTTTAAGTATCTCAAAATTATATTATCACACTGGTAATAATTAGAATAAATTATAGAGAGCGCGGGAAATGTTTCTCGCCCCGGGACTCCTCGTGAATTTCTTATCGCGAGGCTACCAGTCTACTTGCCGAACATAATTCGAGTAGCCGCGTTCCGAACATAATTCGGAGGAGCCGAACAAAATTGGACTAAACTCCAAAAAACTGCCAGCCTAGTTATAAGTGAAATACTCCCAACACAATTCTAAAAGAGCCGAACATAGTTTATTGCATTTTTTATTGAAGTTAAAAGAGCCGAACATAATTCCATGCAACGCTGGAACATAATTCTGTAGTTCGGCCGAATGAAATATCAAACACCATAACATAATTTGTTTTCTAAATTTGACCCTAATAACGCTCCATAGAAGCACGCTCACGCAATCGAATTTGATTAGACAAATTTACTAGCTACGTTATTAAAGCACTTAGAAATTTTTAAGAACACTCGAGAAGTGCGAGAAGCGGGAACCGAAGGCTGAACACTACTATTTGTTAGTTGCGGTTACTTTTTCCTAATGTCAGAGTCACGGACGAATAATTTTTTGGCGGTTTTTTTACTGTGTTGGTTATCGGTGAAATCATAAAGCTTTCGACGATTGAAGGTTAATTTTCTATTTTGACCATTGGCGCCTAAATGAGGGTCTCAATTACGTATAACGGTTAATCACAGGCAGCATCATCTCCCATGGTGGCCTGATAGATTCAGTCATGATTATGTTTACGTAACGAAGAGGAATTGACTTCTGAAGTTTGTAGGTTGATTGTCTTTTCCAAGGCAAGTGATGTGAAATTAACTCTAGGGAAGCATTTCATATGAATATTTTTGGCATTTTGTGTGCCAGTGCACGAGGACAAAACTTTGCAGGAGGGCAGTGACATTCGGGAAATGATGTAATCTACACTAGAAGCCATTAGCAGCTTGATTTGGTTTGAACGTATGACTAGCTAATTTTGGACAATACATACATGTAAAGTATGTGTGACGAGCGTAGGTTTCTTTTGTCCATTAGGGCATAAAGTTCTATTTTCAGTTGATTGAGAGCAAAATGTTTACTACAATCGTTGTATTTAGGTTTTGTGGGTCTGTATTTTCAATAAAGAACACAGAAAAATTTAGTTGAGGTAGGTAGATAGAAGGTTGCAAATGAAAGAATCTAGGGAAAAAAGATAGGTGCATTACAAGATCAGAACACAAGCAATATTTTAATGAATCATATGTAGAGTTAAGTACTCTGAAGTAACATTATATTAACTTTGCTAATAATTTTCAACCCAATAAGATTTACAATCTGACCTGGAGGTTTTATTTAACAGAAAGTTGAATAGAGATAGAGTGTCTTCATAAGAGATTTCAGGAACAGTAATCATAGACGTAACTTAAACACAACAGAGTTCAATGTACAGGCAAGTGCACGATGGTATCATATGATTTAAAGTACCAGAATCTTTCAAGTTTTCTTATTATTGAAATTGTAATTTCATGCTAGCGTGTCTACCAAATTAAAGTTATGTGGAGACGTGAAATGAATAGGTGAACTTGACATCATCATGCAAATGGTCAACTACACATCATCATGCAAAGTGCTAATCTACCGTACAAAAAGGTCCAAAACAAACATGGTAAGCAACTGAACTTCATGTATCACTTTCTGTTAGAGCATACAAAAGGACTTGTGAGACCTGCTTCTCTCTCATTTGCCAGAACAACATTGAACTTCTTGAACCAATCAAAATTCAGAATGACTGCGACAGTTTGGAACTGATCTGTTAAGACTGTGCTTTTAAGGGGTCTACAGACGTGATAAGAACCCTTGGTCTCCGAGGATGCCTGATGGTTTTTAAATCCACATCAAGTAGCTCTAACTTCTAACTATAAATGTAACAAATTTCAGTTCCATTGAACTGTCTTCGTAAAAACTCAACAAAGTCTAAGCTACATTAATTAAAGTGTACTTTGGTATGCTAATTAAGCACAAGTAAATTTTTAACAAACAACAAATGTCTTTAGCTTACGGGGTGTGTGTGGTTTAAGTATTTGAAAAATTTACAAGTGCCTATCACCTGAGAAATCATGTTATGAATTATTCGTAATGTATACATGAAAGATATGCATTCACAAGAAATCAACAAACTGATAGCAGATAAATTTGGCAGTACTGACTAAATGAAGTGTGTGCCATCAAGATTTGTCCTTCAGCTGAATTCTAACTCAGGGATGCAATTTTGTTAGTGTTTATCAATATACATAAAACTATCCAAGCTTTTGTTTATTTTTGTCAGCTTCTACATATATCAATGGGAACAACCTACTTTGTGTAATTTTGATTGGTTTCTTATGTGATCTATTGTTGCTGAGCCTAGTTTATATTTGTACTTGAGTTATTACTTTTGCACTAATGATAAATGAAAGAGGCACCTGGCTGTTTTCAGCCGATAAAAAAGTGTAATTTTTCATGTATATCAGTATTGTGATGAATTAACCAAAACCAAACCAGTTATTGAAAAGGAGTTGTAGTCCACCAAATAAAGGCCTATACACATTTATTGCTGCCATGTATAAATACCAATGCTTATCTGAGCCACTATGAAGAGAATCTAGAAGACTTCCAAGCTTACAGGAAGTCATGAAATGTTAAGGTCTGAATAATTCTGGGCATTACTTGGAAAACATAACACTAACTAATCACATTTCAGTTTTAACATTAAAGTACTGCGCTCACTCGTGAGCTATCGAGTTAAACACTCGAAGAGAAATTCCATATCTACGCGCGCCCATGTATTATTCTCTATTTATTTCTCTACAATAATTACAGTTTTTCAAGCCCTTTTACTTTCTACTTGTGAAAGAAAACACCTGACGATCAGATTCTAGACCTTTTGCAATAAGAGAGTCAAAGAACCATGGTAGTTTCTTATATGTCCTTCACACCCGCGACTCGCCCAAGCTTATGGAAATATCCTACACTGGGCAGTGAAAAACTGATCATACTATTGTGGTGTTTCAGCTACAATTGTCATCCTGTATTAAAAAAAAAATCTAAACTCGAGCTAAAACTCGAGCTAAAACTCGCAAAAACTCCAACAAATATTACCAAAATATCAAAAGTGATCTGATATAGTTTTAAGTTGTCCTTTTGGATATTCAGGTGAAAAACTGCAGGAAAAATCAAAACAACGCAGGAACCACTTAAACTTTCGATGAATGACATAAAAAGCGCAAAATGTGGAATAGAAATCGCGGGTAGAAGTGTTAGAAAATTTGTAAACACTCGAATGCCGATGAACCAAACAATCTCGGGACATCTGAATGGAAGTGAATCGACTGAAAAAATTTCCTCGATTATGTGGATTATGGTAATGACACTAAAAGGATATGAAAAGAGAACGTTTAAAATCAAAAATCCGTTGACAAAGACTCGTAAAAATCCCATGGGAAGGCTATTTACAATCACATCTGGAATATCTGGGCTAAACGACAGGAAAGCACAAACTGAAAAAACGATCTTGAGGATTGTAGCGAAGGTATAAGATAGCGCAAGTATCTTGGGGAACTGTGATCTGTTTTGCAAGCTTTCCTCGACTCCTGGCAATACAGGATGACAATTGTAGCTGAAGAATATAATTGCTAATGAGACTGGCGCGTCATCGATATTCCAGACTAATATAAGGCTAAAATTCCACTTAGAGCCATGTGCTATGCCAAAAGCTAAGACAGCTATTACTGCTACAGATAAAGCTACAACACTCACTAAACTTAACCATGCAACCTGTGAAAGATTCTTTACGAAAATGGTCGGGAACCCAATTGTAGCTGCAATGACCATCCAAATTTTATCGGACACCGGTATCCCTGGAAATATACTGCTTGAGAGCAAACGTTCATAATTTGACGTAATGACCAAAATTATGACCAAATTTAAACATGCGATCAGAATGGCAAGCAAATCTTTTGAGGCACCTTATTTTAACGCTAAAAGTGAACTTCCTCGGAACGACATGCGGCGAAATTTGTTCCATCCGTTCTTACACGGATGGAACCTATAATATCTTCAGATCACCTCAAACTTTGCAATATGATGAGTTACCTCTCTATGTGGTTCTTGCAGCTGCCATATGGTTAAGAATTATGGTTATGGTCTTTAGACTCTTTACCACTCGTTACGGCCAGAGAGCTCAAATGAGTGAAATGGACTGAGACCAATTTCAATTCCAATAATCACGGATCGGACCACGTGGCACCTCGTGGTGTGATCAGACACAAGTTATCAAGTGATATACTATCTTTAAAGATTTAGATTTAACAAATAGAGAAGCCTTGACTGTGCTCTGTTCTGTTATAAAGCACGCAGGAAGCGGCTAGAGCACGAAAGAAGTGTAGGGAGAAACACGAGACGTAGTCTAGTGTTTCTCCTCACTTCTTGAATGAACGACAGCCGAATTCACCGAAACATGAAGATCGCTCGGGATTCGGTAAAACTCGGCTGCAGTGACTTTCCACTCAACGCATCGGAAAGGATATCAGAGCAAGCTCTTATTTTTTCACTCGAAGGGCGGCCGATATAGTTTCTGAGACTTGCTTTACTGTGATGACCGGAGATCACCATGATGAGCGAGCCGCGATGGACTTCAGCATGATCATATTCGCTCAGACACCGTCATGATTAGAATGAATTTTAACAGTTATGCTAATTTGGTTATATTTTTCATCATTTCTGTTTGTTCTGTTTTGTTTTTGAACACTGAAGTTTAAATACTATATTAGTGTTCGCTGTGTTTGATTGTTATTTCCGTACGTAAGCTTGCAATCTAACTGAGCGCGAGTTAATCTTTAAAACTCGGAATGTCTATTTTGTTTTTCCTTTGAGGATTTTCGCATCTGCTCACGTTTTAATAACGTAAATTACGGCGCCTGGTATGTTTACAAACCTTCATTTGGTTCTTCTGTTGCTACTTGCCGGCTCGCTTCAGTTCCGAAACTTCACTTTCAATTATCGGAAAAAAGCTAAAAAGAAGTCCCGGAAAAGCTCGAACGTAGTACAATTTGGAAGATGGTGTGACAGCTTTAGCTCAGCTCTATGCTCTATACTCTCATAGAGCACGCTCTTTCAACCAATGACAGCGCGCGTTATATCCGAACTTTATCATAATAGAAAATAATACATAGGTGCGCTTAGATTTAGATATAGGATTTCTGTTCGAGTTGAACACGAGAAGAGAAATTCCATACGTTCATGTTACGTTTTATTTGATTTATTACATAAACACCATAGGCTTTGACTGACTTTAAAATTAAACAACGACCTTAGATTAAGAAAGGAGAACACTTTGTGATTTATTCCGGCACAATACGACAGAGTGGCAAGAAAGGTGAGTGACGTGTCAGCAGCTGACTGACGATATCCAATACACGTAAAAAAAAAAGTCGCAATTTTACACGTGTAAAACCCGACTGAGACCCTCTGCACGTGGTTGATCGTAACAATTGCGACAAAACAGAGGAAATTGCCTCAATCCATTTTTATAGCAGTATCGCAAGCATATAAAAATCCTCTCTTTTTCTAACGGGAGGATTGACTTTCCGGTGATAAAGGTTCAAGAGACAGGAAAAGGAATTCTATTAAGTCATCATTCGCAAAATGATTCATCCCGTTAATTTAACATAAATTCATGCCGACTTGGACTCTCTTTGGTAACTAACCAATGTGTTACGGGTTATCAAGAGAAAATAATGAGTTTTATAGATGACACAGTATTGGTAGGAAACTTTGTTATATTTTGTTCCTTTTACACGTATGTTAGCATAATTCATAATGCACAATACAGTCTAGACTACGAAGAGCTCGGGGAAGTCCGTCGCGTGATTGATTAAAAAAAATAATTGAACAATTTTCGTAAACGGCCGTTTTTATGCTAGAGACGTTAAAGTTGTCTAAGACGTTAAAGTCGTCTCGAGACGAAGCAATTTCCATCTAAGATTCTTTTTGAGTTTTCAGTCCAGTTTCAGTGCCTATTTATTCAAAATGGCATGAGAAAAATCATGTGATTACCTGTAATTATAATATCGGGAACTGTGCTGTTTTTGTAAGTAGTTATATATTATGAAGAGAAATTCCATATCTACGCGCTATCTCTATTTATTTCTCCACAATAATTACAGTTTTTCAAGCCCTTTTGCTTTCTACTTGCGAAAGAAAACACCTGACGATCAGATTCTAGACCTTTTGTAACGAGAGAATCAAAGAACGATGGCAGTTTCTTATATGTCCTTCACACCCGTGACTCGCCCAAGCTTATGGAAATATACTACACTGGGCAGTCAAAAACTGATCATACTATTGTTGTGTTACTGTTCCAAAGCTCGGCAAAAAACGATATGCTTTTATAAAAATTTAACTTAGAGATAGATCAAACCGTGACCAACACACCAGCAATAAATTTAAGAGGAGTTTAATTGGTTGACGACACGATCGAAATCTTCTATTTACACGCCATTGCCAGTGGTTTCTGAGTAAAGTATTACAAACATAGTACATCATGAACGGAACGACTAACTACAAGATTGGAAATAACAGGAAATGTGTATAACATAGGCAATACTAATAACATAAGGAACACGGGACACTCGACGAAAGATCAATTTACGTGACGATTTTGGACTACGGCTGCCTAAGAACGTAGTTGCGATTACCTTCTACTCGAGCTAACACCGTTATATTTGCATGATCCGTGCGAAAGTCAAACTTATATGGATAGCCGCGTGGACTGGGGTTAGGAGGGGGATTGGTTTCTATACAAACTATTGGATATCGTAGATCATATCTTTAATCTTAACCAGCTGCAAGCTCATTCGCTAACATGCAAATACCTGGGGAGTGAATCAGCAGTGGAAAAAGTTACACTGCCATGTGGCAATTTAATACTCGAAAAAAAGAGCGAAATTAAACTTGTCAGTAACGTACTGGTTTATTCACAAATATCTCCAAATGTTCAAAGTCCGTACGGCCACGGACCACAAAAATATAACACAGTTGCACAATCCGAGGCACACAGTGAAAACTCACAATCGACACGTTCCTTGTTTACATAAAGGCGATGCGAGTGGTTTTCTGCAAAAAATATAAATGTCCAATGTCTTATATGTTCTTCAAAACGTTCACAAATGTCCACAAATGTCCACTTACCGAACTGTATGGCCTCTCGGTTTAAAATAAACGAAATAAGCTCTGTAAACTCCGTATTTAACAACAAATAAATCTGGCACTTGAAAGCACTTGGCGAATACAACAAGATTGCTCGCGTGGTCACGTGACCGCAAAAATGACAAAATCCTACTCAGGGGAGTCGGGAGTGACAAAACTCTTTTCGTTTAGATAAAAAAGCAAAAACACGATGAAGTCTAAAGCTGAAGGATTTTCTTTCCGGTGAAAATTAAACCTGTAAAGCTCGCAAAAACTCCAACAAATATTACCAAAATATCAAAAGTGATCTGATATAGTTTTAAGTTGTCCTTTTGGATATTGAGGTGAAAAACTGCAGGAAAAATCAAAGCAACGCAGGAACCACTTAAACTTCCGATGAATGACATAAAAAGCGCAAAATGTGGAATAGTAATCGCGGGTAGAAGTGTTAGAAAATTTGTCAACACTCGAATGCCGATGAACCAAACAATCTCGGGACATCTGAATGGAAGTGAATCGACTGAAAAAATTTCCTCGATTACGCCGATTATGGTAATGACCGATATGAAAAGAGAACGTTTAAAATCAAAAATCCGTTGACAAAGACTCGTAAAAATCCCATGGGAAGGCTATTTACAATCACATCTGGAATGTCTGGGCTAAACGACAAGAAGGCACAAACTGCAAAAACGATCTTGAGGATTGCAACGAAGGTATAAGATAGCGCAAGCATCTTGCGGAACTGTGATCTGTTTTGCAAGCTTTCCTCGACTCCTGGCAATACAGGATGACAAATGTAGCTGAAGATTATAATTGCTAATGAGATTGGCGCGTCATCGATATTCCAGACTAATATAAGGCTAAAATCCCACTTAGAGCCATGTGCCGCTATGCCAAAAGCTAAGACAGCTATTACTGCTACAGATAAAGCTACAACACTCACTAAACTGAACCATGCAGCCTGTGAAAGATTCTGTACGAAAATGGTCGGGAACCCAATTGTAGCTGCAATGATCATCCAAATTTTATCGGACACTGGTATCCCTGGAAATATACTGCTTGAGAGCGAGGCGCATAAGACAAGATACAAAGACGCCAGCATAAACAGTTCGATCAGCTGGACAGCGGCAACAATAGCACCACCAAAGCGAGGCCAGCAGGCGTTACCGAGCTCCTTATAGTTGGACCTGACTCGAATTCTTTCGCCTTCGTTGTTGGTCTCATACAGGCACTCTATCAATATAGCTCCGGCGTAGTAGGTGATAAAGGGAACCATGATCAGAGCTGCTATCGCTACCAGGCCACTCTCAGCAATCACGTAAGGAAGAGCGAGGAGGCCGGTGCCCTCGATACTACTCATGAGGTTAGCAACCGCTTTCCATAAGCTCGACCTTCCTGCAGACTCTTCATTTTGATCAGCTGCGTCTTTTTCTTGGATCAGGATTCTTTTTTCATGTTCTTTTCCTTCTTGTTCTTCCTCTCCTTCTTCAGTATGGTTTCTCAGCAAATGATAGCCGGTGGTTTCAGACATTTTGCTACGTAAAACAATCTTGTTATTCCTGAGGAACACAAGTTACTCGGTTAGATATGGAATGTAACAGCTGATTATTAACAATAAAAGCGAATCAAATGTTCCAAATTCCCTTCCCCCTACCCTCATGTCCAAGGAATTTTGATCGCAAACGAGAACCGGAAAAGTCATTCTACACCGTGGAAAATGTTGTGGTTCACGTTTTGTAGTCAGATCAACACTGTCGCACGAAGTTGACTACATACTGCCAGTCACATCAATTTCACTATTTTAAGTGAAAGCCGAAAACGTTTACGGTAACGTTCAAAATTACGAAAAATATAATAAACTGAAACTATTACCTTTTACGATTAGATATCAATTCGGTATTTATTTTTGACAAGTATCAGTGGAAATTTACGTAATTCAAACGTTTATAATTTGACGTAATGAACAAAATTATGACCAAATTTAAACATGCGATCAGAATGGCAAGCAAGTCTTTTGAGGCACCCTATTTTTAACGCTAAAAGTAAACTTCCTCGGAACGACACGCGGCGAAATTTGTTCCATCCGTTCTTACACGGATGGAACCTATTATATCTTCAGATCACCTCAAACTTTGCAATATGATGAGTTACTTCTCTATGTAGTTCTTGCAGCTGACATATGCTTAAGATATAAACTAAATACTCAATGGTGTAGTTCTGAAAAAAGTCGTTTTGTTTCTAAAGGAAAAATCTACATATTTATAATGTGTCATTTTAATTGCTTCCGCTTGATAATAAGGTAATTCGTACAGGTAATCACATAATTTTAAGTGCAATTTGGAATTAATAAGCACGAGTCAATTGTGTTAGTCTTTGGAAAAATTTTACAAGTGCCTATTTATTCAAAATGGCATGAGAAAAATCATTTGATTACGTATTAATAAAATACGTGAAGAAATGCGAGATAGCTTATCATAATTATGCAGAAGCAAAGAGCGCGCATCAAGTGCAAAAATTTTTTATTCAAACCCTGCAAATGAAATTGTGCGTACGGTCGAAACAACCGCGTACGATCAAAACAATAGTATACAATGATGTTTTTACATCTTTGAGGCGCAAGAAAGTTCAATATCCGGCTTAACAGTTCAAGGAATTGTTCAGCCTGGTTTGTTACTTCTTTGCAATGAATTAACCCTCTTCTGCATTGAATTACCTGAAAACTGCATTTATCTTAACAAATCGGAACTGAGTAGTTTTTTTATGTATCTTATAAATGTGAAAGAAAATTGTAACACTTTGCAGAACTGATTCTTCTAGTTCCGAGAATCAGGTCGCAAATGCTCCTCAATTTCACTCCTCAATAAATGCTCCTCAATAACACATTGCATGAAGTCAATATTTCAGAACACGCTTTACCGTTTAACTCTCCGTCTCCAACAACAGTTGTGGAAGCTTGTTGGGTTGTTAGACTCTTCAAGTTACCATCCGTTACGGCCAGAGAGCTCAAATGTGTGAAATGGATTGAGACCAATGTAATCACGGATGAATTTTAGTATCTGACGCCTCATTGGTTTTCGATTAGAACAAAGGTTCTAATAACGTTCTAAACCAAGCTCCAGCTGTGAGATGATCATCTTGCACAGTAGCAGTACATAAGAAAAGCCCTTCTTATGTAAGTATCATTACAGCGAGTTTCCTTACGCGACCAGTGTTTCACAAACTTCTAAAATTTCGGAAAGTCCGCAGAAACTTCAAAGACACCGAAGTGTATGGATGGGGCAGGCAGATTTTGAAAAAATCGGAAAAAACAAAAGACACCGCTTCCGGAGCTGTCAAAGCTAGTCATTTGACTCATATATGACCTGCAGTTAAACTATTCAATCGGCGGGAATTTTAATTCACCCGCCAACTTTTAGCATGGATGGACGTTTTCCTTTTTATTATGCGCCGGGATCATTCCCAAGCTAAAACTTTCGTCATTTCGACCATACATTGGCTGGACCGATCTTAGATCAAGCGGGACCCAGCGGAATTTTGCTTAATCAGTCCGATAGTTCAGCAAGTGTGGTAAGGGAGAGCAAGAGCCCGAACAGCTTCAGGTAAGCTGAAGGTTTGGCAAGGAAAGAAAAAAAAAATACGACAAATAGCCGCAGGAAGAGCAAAGGGCTCAAGTAATGAAAATCAAACCATGATTCAGCTGGGCGAGGAATGGTCCATGTGTAAGGCGCAACACGAATTCTTCATAAATGCCGCCTCTTCTTAGAAAAGCGACTTCAGGATTTGCATGTATTCATTTACCCATCTCTGATACAAGGATGAAAAGGCAAACATTTGCAGCTGTTGCATGTCGATAATTTGTAGAAGTAGAGGGGCAAAAGCAAACCAAAATGCCCAATTTGTGTTCATGTTTATTACCGCACAATACGCGCCAGAAATGAAATCAGATCAACTGTGTTTATTTTGACATATTTGTGTATTTCGGTAGTGCGACTAAAAAATTGTCACATTTTTCGGCTCTTCCGGTTGCGGTTTCAACTTTTCGAATATTTTTTGGCTGCCTAATTTTTGGTTTGGGCAGTAGTGCGACCTGGCCTCTCTGATTACCGTTAGATAGTTTTCAATATTGATCCTGTTCATCAATAAAACAAGATACCTAGCATAAAGAGTCCTGAAATTGACATTTTCAAGATGAGAGTTATTGGCCAAACTTTGTTATGAAGGTCTCGTCTTGACAACAAAGGTTGCACGTGTAACCTGAGGATTTTAGGAACTGAAAAAACGTCAGCATCATCTCCCATAGTGGCCTGATAGTCATGATTATGTTTACGTAATGAAGAGGAATTGACTTCTGAAGTTTGGAGTTTGAAGTTTTCCATGGCAAGTGATGTGAAATGAACTCTAGGGAAGCATTTCATATGAATATTTTTGGCATTTTGTGTACCAGTACACGAGGATAAAACTTTGCAGAAGGGCTGTGACATTCGGGAAATGATGTAATCTACACTAGAAGCCATTGGGAGCTTGATTTGGTTTGAACGCATGACTAATTTTGGACAATACATACATGTAAAGTAACATAATGATAAGCGTAGGTCTCTTTTGTCCATTAGGACATAAAGGTCTATTTTCAGTTGGTTGAGAGCAAAACATTTACTATAATTATTGTATTTAGGTTTTGTGGGACTACATTTTAAATAAAGAACACAGAAAAAAATTTTTGAGGTAGGTAGATATGAGGTTGCAAGTGGAAGAATTTAGGGAAAAAAGATAGGGGCGTTACAAGATCAGGACACAACCAATATTTTAATGAATCATATGTTGAGTTAAGTACTCTGAAGTAACTTTGCTAATAATTTTTAACCCAACAAGATTTACAATTTGACCTGGAGGTTTTATTTAACAGAAAGTTGAATAGAGATAGAGTGTCACCATAAGAGATTTCAGGAACAGTAATCATAGACGTAACTTAAACACAACAGAATTCAATGTACAGGCAAGTGCACGATGGTATCATATGAATTAAAGTACCAGAATCTTTCAAGTTTTCTTTTTATTAAAATTGTAATTTCATGCTAGCGTGTCTACCAAATTAAAGTTATGTGGAGACGTGAAATGAATAGGTGAACTTGACATCATCATGCAAATGGTCAACTTCACATCATCATGCAAAGTGCTAATCTACCATACAAAAAGGTCCAAAACAAACATGGTAAGCAACTGAACTTCATGTATCACTTTCTGTGAGAGTATACAAGAGGACTTGTGAGACCTGCTTCTCTCTCATTTGCCAGAACAACATTGAACTTCTGGTACCAATCAAAATTCAGAATGACTGTGACAGTTTGGAACTGATCTGTTAAGACTGTGCTTTTAAGGGGTCTACAGACGTGATAAGAACCCTTGATCTCCGAGGATGCCTGATGGTTTTCTAATCCACATCAAGTAGCTCTTACTAATTATAAATGTAACAAATGTCAGTTCCATTGAACTGTCTTCATAAAAACTCAACAAAGTCTAAGCTACATTAATTAAAGTGTACTTTGGTGTACTAAATAGGCACAAGTAAATTTTTAACAAACAACAAATGTCTAGTTAATGGGGTGTGTGGGGTTTGAAGTATTTGAAAAATTTACAAGTGCTTATCACATGAGAAATCATGTTATGAATTATTCGTAATGTATACATGAAAGATACACATTCACAAGAAATCAACAAACTGATAGCAGATAAATTTGACAGTACTGACTAAATGAAGTGTGTGCCATCAAAATTTGTCCTTCAGCTGAATTCTTACTCAGGGATGCAATTTTGTTAGTGTTTATCAATATACATAAAAGTATCCAAGCTTTTGTTTATTTTTGTCAGCTTCTGCATATATCAATAAGAACAACTTACTTTGTGTAACTCTGATTGGTTTCTTATGTGATCTATTGTTGCTGAGCCTAGTTTATATTTGTACTTGAGTTATTACTTTTGCACTAATGATAAATGAAAGAGGCACCTGGCTGTTTTCAGCCGATCAAAAATGTGTAATTTTTCATGTATACCAGTATTGTGATGAATTAACCAAAACCAAACCAGTAATTGAAAAGGAGTTGTAGTCTACCAAATAGAGGCCTAATACACATGTATTGCTACCATGTATAAATACCAATACTTATCTGAGCCATTATGAAGAGAATCTAGAAGACTTCCAAGCTTACAGGAAGTCATGAAATGTTAAGGTCTGAATAATTCTGGGTATTACTTGGAAAACATAACACTAACTAATCACATTTCAGTTTTAACATTAAAGTACTGCGCTCACTGGTGAGCTATCGAGTTAAACACTCGAAGAGAAATTCCATATCTACGCACGCC